GTCAGCTCTGAGTTACACTCTGTTACATTTTTAAAATTAAATTCTAGTAAATCAAAATTTTTTTTTTTTTTGGTACTAAGAAAAAGGTACAAATATTAAGACTCAACTTTAATATTTTAACCGAATGTATTCCAATTCCTATTACTGACCATGTAAAAATCTGGGAGTGACTCTTGACAGTAACTTACGGTTCAATCAACGTGTGAAAACATTACTCCAAAAATCTTATTCCTCGCATAGATTAATTTATAGTAGTCGTCATATTCTGAATAAAAGTCTTAAAATTATGTTATGTGAGTCACTTGTTCTTTCCTATTTTAATTACTGTGATTATATCTATACAAGAAAAAAAAAAGTTCAAAATTCATATTGTCTACTTATACATGGATTAAGAATTAAATCATAATTAACAAAATTCTATCACTCTATAAAATTCTCTTGCTGATAATTTTAAAATTTTTAATATTAACAAATTCAAGTACTTATAAATTTAAATCATATTTATTGAGTGTATAGTTGATTTTATAGCTTATACTCTAGGATTTTTATAAGAAACTATTGATTATTGTCAGGTAATTGTATTTAATTTGTGTTATTGTTTCTTTTCTGAGCGATTGTCTGTTGTTATTTACATAATATGGCTTAATATGAATAGCTTTTGCTAGACTTCGTCATGGGTTTGCGATTTTTCACTTTATTTTTTGTATTTCTATATTTTTATATTTGCATTATCTGCTTCTAATAAAGACGATTTATTATTATTATTATTACACATTATTATTATTTTCAATATGATCCAGAAACCAAACGCCAAAGTGAAAAGCGCTAGACGAGCCAAAACCCAAAAAATCTCTTTTGGAGTCAAATGACAATGTTGATTTGCTTTTACCATTCCAAGGGTATTGTCCACAAAGAGTTCATATCAATCCGTTAATGCAAAATTTGATCTTGGTGGTTTAAAGCGTTTGCTGCATCGTATTCATCGTATTCATCATCCGATAATGGGCCATCTCATCGATCCACGAATGCAACCAATTTTTTACTAAAAATCGCATTTTAACTGTCAACCACTCCCCTTATTCGAATGGTTTGGCACCGTGCGACTTTCACCTTTTCGGAAAAATTAATTAGCCGATGAAAGGACATCAGCGTTTGCGGGCGTAGAAGCCATCCAAAAGGCTTGTATCAACATCCTGAAGGACGTCCCGACCGACGATCTAAAACAGTAATTCAGTATGCTTCCACACCGTGTAAATTGCTGTATTGAGTCGGAAGGAAATAAAATACAACTTTTAGTATTCATATTTTTAAAAAACGCAGCTTGAAATGTTTTTTTTTACTTTCGTCGTTTAACACAGAGTAAAGTTACCATAATATTGAAAGTTTCACTACGTTGTATTAAACAAGTCAGTGACACAATTGCCTTAATTTTCTTTTCAGTTAGCTTTTTGAAGTAAGCTGTCTCATATATCTTGTAGATTTTTTAAGAATAAGTTAGGACACTGTATTTTCTGCTATTTCAAAAGGCAAATAAAAAAAAAATCGATTCTGCTTTCCACTTCTTCCATACTTAACACCGGGTCGTAATACTTTTTTCTTTACATTCACAGAAATCTTCAATAAGGCTGATACAATAATTAGGCCAAGAAAATAAGCTGGCTAATGACCATTTCGCGACTTTTTGTTTCGGCAAGCTGAATTTATCACTATAGATGCTAAATATTATGTACAATAACATATTAGTTTCCACAGTCATAAAAATGGGGGGAAGATTTTTTACAGGGTAGTTAATTGTACAATTTTTACGTAAATTCACGTTTTTCGCTTATAACTTTTTTCCGTTCATTTCCACGAGAAAACAATAAAGTACTTTTTTTTCATCTTCAAAAGACTTACAAAACTAGCCTGGAGCATCAAAAAATATTGATTGGATCAAAAGTTATAAACAGAATAAGTTTATTTATGACTTTTGAATTAAACATTTGTCAACTGCGTTATTATTACCAGAACGTTTTGGCATCGCATCCTCTCATTCCTTATCACTGTCTAATAACTCACACGAAATCTGCAATCGGTAAGTTGAATAGTTTATAAGTTATGGCCTTATAAACAAATTAACTAATAATTAGTCTGGACGATCCCGAGGATCTACCAAAATCGCACTGATTTTCATGGTAGATTTCATAATAATACTCTGAAATCTATTATTTTCTATTTTAATTTAATTTGCAACCTGGATTTTTTTTTATTTTTTAGCCTTAGTTGCAAATTGAAATATACGACACACGAGCGTGATATAGTTATACATACTAGGTAAGCTTATGAAAAGAACTTGAAGTTAAAAAAAAATCGTCAATATTCGTTGACAAACAACGGAGTTACAGACTGTCAAAGTTGACGGCCTATTGTTAAACAAATTAGGTTGGTAGCGGTAAAAAAAATACTGTCATAACTGGCAACCCGAGTACTTCCCCAGATAAAAATATTTTATTTGTGGAAGTATGTTAAGTGCATAAGAAATACTGTCAAAAGTCACTGAGTTGCTTGATTTTCGGCGAGCCGCGGCGCGACGGAACGGTGGGGGAAGCGAACGACATCGAGTCCGAAGAAAATGAGGATAATATTCATAGTCCTGCCGTTAAATAAGCGAAATTCGCTTGAAAATAATATATTTGATAGTCTGTGACTCCGTTGTTTTTCAACGAATCTTGACGATTCTTCTTTTAACTTAAAGCTCTTTTCAAAAGCTTTCCGAATATGTAACAATATATAACTATATCACGCTCGTGCGTCGTATATTTCATTTTGCAACTAAGGCTAAAAAATAAAATAAATTTCCAGGTTGCAAATTTGAAATTAAAAAAAAAGATAGATTTCAATGTATTATTATGAAATCTACCATGAAAAAAGTCAGTGTGATTGTGTATGATCCTCGGGATCGTCCAGACTAACAATTAGTTAATTTGTTTATAAGGTCATAACTTATAAATTATTCAACTTATCGATTCCAGATTTCGTGTGACTTATTAGACATTGAAAAGGAATGAGAGGATGCGACGCCAAAACGTTCTGGTAATAATAACGCAGCTTATAAATGTTTAATTCAATAGTCATAAATAAACTTCTTCTGTTTATAACTTTTGATCTAATCAATATTTTTGACGCTTGACGCAAAAATTATTGCTCTTTCAGGTTTTGGATCAAGTTTCATGTTACACATACAGGGTAAAAAGTTATTAACTAAATTTTCGGTAAAATTGGTCGTAAGTGGCGCCCTCTATTAGCAACGCTGAAACTACAACACGCATCTTATTCATCGCCTAAAAAAATATAGTTTCACAAATTTTCAAGTTGCTAACCTACATATTTTCAGAATAATCGCAAAAAAACGATTTAAAATTTTAACTTTCAACACCCTGTATTTCACCATTTCACGTGTAGTATCTTCAACTTTCGATTTTCCCATTGTCAATGAATCACCCTGTATATTTCCTGGCCTAAATACGTAAAACAGTCCATTAAAAAGTATGATATTAAAAATATAACTTATTTTACCCACACCTTATTGTTTCATGTATACCTATCGGTGCAAGCGCTCCTATTAATAAAATTATATAATATTTAGCGTTGCAAGGAAGTCGCTTAACGATGTAAATGTTTGTGGGCATTATTGTTGCACTCTAAATAGATAATCGCACTGCATCTAATTAGCTAACAGCATCACTACAAGCTACGTCTAATTAAACTTAGTCTTATTTCCTCATTAGACGGCGGGCGTGCGGTTGGCATGGCGGTTCCCACACCAACTGCTGATGGATTAGCTTTACGATGTGATCTCGTTTGCGGAATAACAATTTGCGCTAATGTCGTGTTATTACGCGTTATCGCCGGACAGTTACTTGAAATATAAGCGTTATTTCCACACTCTTGATTCGATGCGAATCTTTCACGATGCGGCTGTAGGAGTAATCCTAACTCTTCATAAGTAATATAATTGGACATCTTTGGATGAATGGTAATAAACAATCCAAGCCACATAAATTGGAACTAATATCGAGAATAATCGCTTGCTACTGTATATTTAATGGCAATATTATCGAAGTGCTAAATAAGACATATAGAGAGTGATTAGTACACGAATCAACATGGGACAGTTGAATGTAGAAAACCCTAAAATATGGCGTTTTAATGCAACTTACCCATATAACAATTAGTTTCATTTATTTATTTTCTTCTCATAAGGTACAATGTGGTGTAACGCAAGGATCTATTCTTGTCCCACTTCTATTTTTATTGTATTCAGCAGCTTTGTAAAGAAATTTTAGTTAATTCCTTTATATCAGTGGCGGCTCGTCGTATGAAGCAACTGAGGCCGGGCCTCACTGTAAATTTGGTTCTCACACCCTATATGTTAATATCTACTATTCTACTATTACAGTTCCCCCTTCGCGCCAGGCGGTTAAAATAACGTGATTTGGGAGGGAACTGAGGCCGGCTCAAAGCTGCTTATACTTGTCTTGTTGCTTCAGTTCGCGGTTAACGTACGCGTCGCATAGTACGCGGGTAGTGTCTGATGTCAGTATGAGGGACAGTACAAATGCTTTAAGGATAAGGACAAGGCAGGTATTAATTTAAAATGAATAAAAAACAACTTCCTTAAAACAAACCAAATTAAGACTAAATTTAACGTAATTAAATACTTATTATCAAATACCTACAAGGTAGCTAATAATGAAACTATCTCACAATATTGTTTGTTTTATCTCTTAAAACACCTTTTTCAGACGTAATAACTTAAACTACTACTCTAAACAAATTAAAATCACTAGTCAAAGAATTTCTAAATTAAAAAAGACAAAAAATTAAAAAATATTAATTATGTGAAAAATATTACTGGACCACCAAGTAAACGGCGCAAAAGTTGCGACGAATTAGAAATATTTTCCCCTTAATTAAGTACCTACTTCACCAGGGTCCTTTTTAGGAACCTGGAGAAGAGCATGATAGATTTGGGACCTTCTGATGAAGATCAGGAGGGACCAAAATCTGTATTATCTGGTCAAATTCCAGGTAATACAAGCGAACATTCAGCACAGTAGAGCGGCATCTGCTGCTCTCTGTGCCAGTGTGGCGCGCGCAAATGCGGATTTGACTTTGATCCAGGAGCCTTGGGTACATGGATCCCGGATCAGAGGAATGCAGATGGTGGCTTACTGTATTGTAGCCACCAAACTAGACCTAGGGCTTGTATTTATTACAAAAGTAGTATTAATATTTTTCCTTTTCCAGGGTTCTGCACGGATGACCTGGTGGCGGCCGAAGTGACTTATGTATCGGAGGGAACGCAGACAACTGGTAATTTGCTCAGCGTACCTCCCTTAGGATAAGAAAGAATCTCCTCCAACCAGGGAACTGAGGGACCTGGTAGCCTGGTGCGAGAAGGAGAAGAAACAACTCATCGTGGCATGTGATGCCAACTCACACCATACGGTGTGGGGAAGCAACGATGTCAACGATCGAGGTGAGTCTTTAATAGATTTTCTTTTTAGTTACGATCTAGAGATTTTGAATGTCGGGAACGAGCCCACCTTCGTTATAAAAATAGGAGTGAAGTCATCGATATAACAGTGGGATCGGGACCGATATGTAATAATATTGCAATGTGGCATATGTCGAATGAGCCGTCAGTGTCGGATCATAGACATATCCACTTTGAAATCATAACGGATTATAATCCGCAAGTAAGAATCTACAGAGACCCAAAAAGAAATGACTGGGATTCCTATAGAACGGAGTTACAGGTCAGAACTAGGGAAATCTGTACAAAATTAAGGAACACATATGATCTTGAGAGGGCTGTGGAGGAACTCCAAAACGCCGTCACAAGATCATATGAATATAGCTGTCCTATCAAAGTGAGGTCCGACAAGCACACCGTACCCTGGTGGTGCAAGGAACTCACGCAATTGAGGAGACAGACAAGAAAACTATTCAATAGAGCAAAGCGGACAAGAGAGTGGGAGGCTTATAGAGCAACACTCACTGAGTATAATAAACAAATTAGGAAAGCGAAGAGAGACTCATGGAGGAAGTTCTGTGAGGATATTGACAGTGTCCCACAGTGTGCTAAACTCCAGAGCCTTCTCTCTACGAATGGAAATACGAAACTCAGGTCTCTTAAAGCACCGAGTGGGGAATATACTAAAACTGGAAGGGAGACATTGGAATTACTTCTACTCACTTTCCAGGCTCCAGGTTATTAAACCATGGAGATGAACATGACTGGGATCACCAGCAAACGGTAACAACCGGGTCTCGACAGAACTGGGAGGTTGCCAAGACGGTGCTGAGTCAGTCACGAATAAGATGGGCAATAAGTTCTTTTGACCCATTTAAATCACCAGGAGCCGATGGAATCCTACCTGTACTGTTACAGCAGGGGGTAGACAGTCTAGCTCCGGTTTTAATTCACGTCTTCAGAGCCAGCATTGCACTTGGTTATATACCGCTGGCATGGAGATCGACGAACGTGGCGTTTATTCCTAAACCAGGGCGTCCATCGTATGCCCAGGCAAAGGCATATCGCCCGATAAGTTTAACATCTTTCCTCCTGAAAACGTTGGAGAGAATAGTTGACAGGCATATAAGGGACGGGGTATTGAGGGCAAATCCTCTGCACAGGTACCAATATGCCTATCAGGCAGGCAGATCAGTCGACACAGCCCTTCATAGCCTAGTCTCTAGGATAGAGAGGGCAATGGACGACAAAGATCTAGCTTTGGCAGCTTTTTTAGATATTGAAGGGGCATTTGACAATACACCTTTCGAATCTATTAATTCGGCAGTTCGCAACAGGGGCCTTGAAGACACTTTGTGTCGTTGGATAGATACCATGTTGAGAAACCGGACAGTAACAGCTACCCTTTCGGGAGAGACATCCAGGTGTAAGGTAGGCCGGGGCTGCCCCCAGGGAGGCGTACTGTCTCCCTTGTTATGGGGATTAGTGGTGGACGGCGCACTGGAGGGCCTTAATCGAAAGGGGTTTTATACACAAGGCTATGCGGATGACTTGGTCGTTCTCATAGTCGGGAAACATAATATTATCGTTTCAGAACTCATGAAAGAGGCTTTGAAATGGATAGATGACTGGTGTAAGGGGCAGGCACTGTCAGTAAACCCTGACAAAACGGTCGTAGTACCCTTCACTAGGAGAAGAAATTTAACTGGACTCTCTGAACCTATAATAGGGGAGAGGGGCATTACATTTTCCAGGGAAGTAAAATATCTAGGAGTGATACTGGATAATAAGCTTACCTGGAATGCGCACTTGGAAAAAGTGGTGAGTAAGGCGAAGCAGACACTGTGTGTATGCCGCCGCCTTATTGGGAAAACCTGGGGACTGAAACCAAAGATGTCACACTGGTTGTATACGTCGATAGTAAGACCCAGGATTCTTTACGGCGCTGTGGTATGGTGGCAGAAAACACAACAGACCACAGCGAAGGAAAAACTGAATAGAATTCAGAGATTGGCCTGTTTAGGTATAACGGGGGCGATGGCATCGACCCCGACAGCTGCACTAGAAGTCATGCTAAATCTGCCACCGCTGCATATAGTGGTGGAGAGAGAAGCGCGGCTAGCAGCATATCGACTCAGGAATAATAATGACTGGAGGGGTGGTTCCCACTCCAGGATCAAAGATACATCTATGTCGGAACCAATTCTTGGGATGGTATCCGACAAGATGGTTCCAAAGTTTCACTTCCACAAGCCATTTGAGACTCGAATAGAGGATCAAAGCGAGTGGGAGGAAAGGTTTAATACCCTGGAAAGGTGGAGCCTAGTATGGTTTACAGATGGCTCCAAAATGACCAGAGGGACGGGTGCAGGAATATATGGACTCAGACCCAGATGGAGTGCAAGCTACAGTCTGGGGGAGTTCCCTACTGTATTCCAAGCAGAAATCTTCGCGATAATGGCGTGTCTGGCAGAGAATGTACGTAGAGGTTATAGACGTAAACTCATATATATATTCTCTGATAGTCAAGCTGCAATTAAAGCTTTAGCCGCACACAAGGTAAGTTCAAAACTGGTGTGGGACTGTTTACAAATGCTGACTGAACTGGCCACCAACAATACAGTCAGACTGTGTTGGGTGCCAGGGCACAAAGGCATTTGTGGAAATGAGAAAGCGGATGAACTTGCTAGGAAGGGATCCGAGACAGTGTTCATTGGCCCGGAGCCCTTCTGTGGCACATCTCCCAGTGTGGTCAGGCGGGCTCTGGGCAAATGGACAGAGACAGAACATAGGAAATACTGGACTTCAAGGCCAGGACATAGCCATTCTAAGGAGCTTATGGAGTATCCTTCGAAGGGAAGAGCGAATGAGCTACTGAGCTTGAATAGAATCCGGCTCAGGAGAGTGACAGGACTCATAACGGGACACTGTCACTTTAGGAAACATCTACATAAGCTAAAGCTTGTAGACAGTCCGGTCTGCCGAGGATGTGAATCGGCGGATGAAACTTCTCTGCATATCCTGGGCGAGTGCCCGGGATTTGCACGTAGCAGAATGGCGCTCCTTGGGAGACCCCATTTGGAACCCAAGGAACTGAGAGAAGTGTCAGCAAGGAAGCTTTTGGACTTTGTAAAAAGGACAAATCTACTTGCTGAATAAGACTAGTAGTGGGACGCACAATAGGCCTAATTAGGCCGCGGTGTTATGGGACTTATTAGGACCAACCACTAGATGAAGATGAAGATGAATGAAGATGAAGTACCTACTCGTTTTGGGAATTTACATGATATACTTTTTTTTTATTTAATAGATTCCTCAAAATTTCCCGAATATGCAAACAAACCCGAAAAATCGTTTGAATGTTTATTACAAATGGACTTAAACGTTTTTGAAATATAGACGTTGAAAAACGAACTTAATATCTTGTACTGAGACGAACAGTTTCGTAATTTAGAAGTTCAAAAAACGATAGAAATATTATACAAGGAATTTAAAATGGTATTTTCGGAAATATATAAATTGTTTTACCCCAGTTTTAACAATTCCTGCAACAAGTGTCTCGATAGAAAGAAACTTTTTATATCTTAAGCGCATTAAGATTTAGAAATACGATGACACAAAAGCGCTTAAACAACTTATCAGTAATAACGATAGAAAAAGAACTATTGGAAAGTCTTAGTACCTATCCTCAATTTTGTGAAGACATTATAAGTAAATTTGCAAATTTATAAGACGGACGAATAAACCTGTTTTATAAAAACATTCACTATGTTTTTTAAATTATTTTGTTAAATGTGGAGGCAAACGAAAAGCTGGCGGCGTTATTTTATATGTAAATAGATAAGTATGCTGGCTAACTTATGAAAATTTGTTTTTCTATTTTTTCATATTTTTTAATATTCATAAACCAAGTAGGAACAATTTTGTTAATTATTTGGTAAATATATCACTTTGTTTTTTTTTCTGTTACTTAATTTTATTGTAAATACAATTTTTAAAGATCTGATATTATTATTAACAATATATTTTTTTAATTTACGGTTATAGTAGGGCAAAGATCTCCATAATAAAAAATGACGTGGAAATGTTTTCCTATTTATTATTTGAGAGCGGATTAATAAAATATCCATATAGTTGCATATTATTTTTTATAAAACCTGAATTAGTCCAGTCATTGAAAGTAAAATAAGGTGTTACTGTATAATTTTCCCAAACAGCACCGATTTGCACCAAAATTTGGATTTAGGTTCTACTCACCTTCTACTTCAAAGTTGACCCTGTGCCGGGGGTTGCCTTTTATTTTTTAGGGGTGAAAACTACCTCTATTCGAAAATAATTATAGAATTGTAGATTCGAACGTGTAATAGGTTGAAATCATCTTTAAATAAGTAATTATGATGAATTGAAAATTGTCAATAACTAAAAACCACCCCACATGGCAGTAATCCTTAAAAAATAATTTTGAAAAATATTATTCAGCATCTTGGAATAGTTTAATCATAATATCACTAATATTATATTAAGATTTCTTTACTGTTTTAATTTTTTATTATTTATTTATAAGTTTCAACCCTTATAAAAACCACCCCTTGCAAAACAATCGAACAATTATAGTTCAAAAAATTTTTTAGTTTAAAATATAATACAATCTTTTTATTATTTAAAATGTAATGTATTTTTTCTATCAAACTTTAAAAAAAAACTTACTGATTAAAATTTGCAATCAAAAATAGGGAAAATAAGAATTTTATTTTTATATGGATTTAAATTTTTTTATTTTTATAAAAAAAATTTTTGTTGCAAATAACATAAATAATCACAAATCCTCTTCACTCTCTTCTTTTTTTTTTCTCCTATTCCCACAATCCCTATTTCTATTCTTAAAATATAGCTATAATGTATATTCATCAATGATTTAATATACGTGTTCTGATATCTGCAAAAATATGTGATTGTGTTTTTTACTCATAACTCGCTTAGTTTTTACGCCATCAAGCCCTTCAAAAAACCATTTTGTAGGTTTTTTCAAGGGCTATAAGATCAAATAAGTTTTCAGATCTTATTTTTGTAGGGAATTGAGCTGAAAGAGCTTGAACAAGTTGCTATTTACGAATACCTGTAGGGTCAGTTGGGGTAATTGTAAACGATTCTAATAAAATCAACTTTGATAAAGTCTAAAATTTGAAGTTTAACAGTTGTGAAGATAACCTTAATATTAGACATTCTCTGAAACACCTTCTAGAATGCCTTAAACGTGCAACTTAACATTGTTAACCGTTACCGAAAAAAAAGGGTGTTTACAATTACCCAGGAAAAAAAATATACAAATATTGGGGCAAATGTAAACTAACTATTTATTGTTCTATAAATTCTAAATTCTAGCCTATTCTAGCTCGAGCTATAAGGCAATTCGCAAGGTCTTTTCTGCATCTATGAAGATGGGATTGCAAGACTGCGTCCTGCAAACTCGTAGGCTTCATGGTATTTTTTCTTTGTTTAATCCTTTGATATATAACGGCAATAGGAATATTGTCAGTCTCCCTGTCTGTCCTGTTTTATTGTATCTTTCAATGTTCGGTCGTTTCTTCTGATAATTTCGCACCATTGTGTTTCCGAGAGTATATAGAAACGCGTTTACAATTACCCCTTAAATGTTTTTACAATTACCCCGGTTTAAATTTTTTAACGGGGCAATTGTAAACACACATCTACTATGAATTTGTGAAGCCTAACCTAAAAAAGTAA